TGGCCCGATCAACTTCAATACTACTTATTGGTGGTAGTAGATGCAGTGGTACGGATCGGCATCTCCCAATATCGCATTCCTCACAAGGCAACCTGCATCTAGGCATAACGGGTTTGGTTGACTTTGGTAGAAGACAAACGACATGCTACAACCGCCACAGTCGGCGCATCACGCACTTTACGTGAACAATGTGGTGATATGAATGATGGCGAGCATCAGCCTCCACACGTTGCACTACCACGTGGTGCAATGACCATCATGCCACTGTCGTGCTGTAGTCGTGACTGCAGCCTCCCAGTACTTCCGCAGCCCAGTCATGCATCTTCCATATTGGTGCACCACGTTAGGGTTTCTGCGGCGACTTGGCGAAGACTGACTCGCTTCCTTCATCTCTGCCAGAAGCTCCTACACTTTGAACCACTTCTCGAGGCATGGATGAGGATACCAAATGACATGACCTGGCGAGATGTTGTGTGGCATAAAGAGCGTAACTACGTGCAGTTCATGCGAGGAATTGATTAGTTGAACTACTACTTATAAATCTCTTCCATGTGGGCACAACTCTACCGTGAATGGCACATTTGGAAGACGGTTTCGGCTTTTGGATTGAGAGGAGAGCTGACTCCCTCCCAGCCACTTGCATCTTCCCCTCCGACTTATGAGTACTTTCTGGTTGTTTGCTTCGCGTGTGATAGTCCGGCACTGGGAAGCGGTGGTAGTGAGCAGTGTGACAGTGGAAGGGTAGGAGTGGAACTTCGGAGACAGAGGATAGGGTGAGGCGGTACCCCTCCTTCCTCTTACCCGAAGCACGCATCTTCGACCACACAAGTTTCCGTTATGAGGTGTTGCGTTGGCTTTTGGGGTGGAGGACCCACGTGGCACTTGTTGAGCATTCGTGACTGCTTTTACAGTCGAAGATGTTGTTAGCAGGGGGTTGAATTGGATGGCGGTCACTAGGCAATGCCACTAGACGTCAACCATGGTCATTGCTTGGCCCTCTACAGGTGAATGAATTATCGTGAGGAATGCCGTTTGTCAAACAGCACCCACACATGGCGCATTGGTTGAGGGAGGCAAGAAATGGTGCCTCAGTCACGTCGGGTTTGGTGGATAACCACGTAGTAGTGGTAGCCGATAATGTGTTCGCCTGTCGATGAAACAGAAAAGCTACTTCTTAATCCAAATCGGTTAGTATATCATCGTGTGTATGGGAAGTGGTTATAGAATCTAGGTGCATATGATAAAAAACCACCGAGTATCCTTTCAAGCTTCCTGTCGTCTACCAAGGCTTGGCATGTGATATCCGCTTGCACCACTTATGCGGCCTGGAATCGCCTGTCTCCCTAACCAAAATAAGGGTTTTCCTGCATACTATAACTCGACGTTACGAAGTGATTCAACAATGCATTTAAACTCCTTCCAAGTGCCATCTTCTAGGACGACGAACCACACCTCCTATCAGTGCTACCTTAAAACATGTAACGAGAAGCTTCTGGAATCACTTTCAGCTCTTGAGATCGCCTGCGTCGCTGAAATGAGATCTACAAATATTGGCCCTGTAAATCGGCAGGATGGCTTGGATATTGCTTAGAGAACCGTCATATGATATACGAGAGGAACTTCCTACCGTCCGACAGTTTTCTGGAGTCGTCTTTACTCCACAAAAGATCTCAACCTTGAAGAGATTTCCCCAAAATTGGGGTCTCCTCCCCCTCCACTTGCAGCTAAGAAAAGCGGATCTTGTAGGGCTCATACCCTCTTAATAAGCAGGCAGTCATTAAGTAAAGCGCAACCAATTATTGTCTAATTTCCAAGCTTTGACCTCCTGACATAAATCCACAAGACTGACAATCGTGACGTCAAAGAAGGACGGATTCACGGTGCCAAAAATCCGTTATATCATCCAAAATTGTGCACTGAAAGATCCGATTTTCCCAAGCTGCAGATTCTAAATATTTCGGCAATGCAACCACACAAGCGCACCAGCAGCATTCATGGACAGAAAAAGCATAAAATTCTGGTACTTATATTTACAAGTAGACCATATACACCACTTTACTGTTGCATACGCTCTAACTCCTTCAGCATGTAATTTATCCTATCTTTCATAATTGGCTGGCCCTTTTTCGTTAGTTTGCGCCAGGCCTTATTTCGCTCCGCTCGCTTCTCCTCTCTGGCCTGTCGTTTCGCCATGATCATTTGCCTCTTCGATTTTTTGCTCTAAAAGTAGAGTACAAATGATTAGGCGACAAAAACTGAAAATACCTGTTCTATCTCGCGCTGCTGCTGCATTAATTGAATAAAGCGTTCCTTTCTGGCGTTAAGTTGATTATTCTTTCGGTTGAAATCAACTTTGACTCTAAATAAGGAGATGTTAGGCGACAAAAGATGACAGTACCTACTACCTTTCCGTTTATAATTGGGTCGCCTAGGTTTAGACTGGGGTCTTTTCGGTGATGAATCCATCTAGGAGGAAAGACCAATAAAGCGATTAATGTTATTAGTTAATCCGGAAAAATAACAAGCTGATCAGCCCTTTTGTCAGCATTGCGGAAAGATACTCAAGATGGAACAGCCTTTAAAACTCTAATGAATCAAGAAGCATGAATGAAAAAAGGAAAGCATGAACTAAAAGAACGAATGTATCCATTCAACAAAGAGGAATGAAATTTGGAGTTGATTACCTGAATTTTACTACTACCCCCAAGAATCACTTCACTTTCAAACCGTTAAAAGGGATTATCTCTTTAGTAAAAAGCAGAAAGTGAACACAGTAGCCGGGAGGAAAAGAAGACCAAGAAATATTTTAAGATGAATGCGATTTGAGCTACTGGAAATGATGTAAAGTAATCAACAGCTTCGCACTTCAATGCTAACAAGACATATCAGTTGAGAAAGTGCAAAAAAGATTACCAAAATGAGTTCGTTAGCTAACACTAAAAGGAAATCACTTTGATCACTTAAACTACACATAGATTTTGCAATGAAGGTAACATTTGACCAGAGAAACATGGTATTCAAAAGCCACGAAAACAGTTAAAAGCAAAAGGAAATACTCAGGAAGCAAACAGGCAAGAAAGGGCGATGAAAACCTCCCTGGCACTAGATCAAAAAGCCGAAAAAACAGCGACAAAATTATCTACTACTGCAGGTATGATCCATTCCGGGACTTCACAACAATCACCACGTAAAACTAACACTATACGTACAATGAATAAAAGAAATTAGACTAAAGGTTAAGATTAAATACATAAACACATGAAGGGCCAATAAAACAGATGAGGGCACCAGAAGACCATTGAACCTAAAGGCACAACAGAGTTAAGAACGGATTTACAATTCAAGAAGCCGAATTTTGAGAATCTCACAAAAAGATTGTGGTTATAGAAAAAATGCTGCAAAAACAGACACTTGAAAGATTAGCCATTATATAAGGAGAATAAAACGAAATTAACGACGCTCCAAATAAGGGTAAAAAAACAATTAAATCAGGCAGGCTGGAAAAAAAAATACACATTCCATTTCATTGCTAAGTAGGAACAGTAATATTTGGGAATCGGTGGCTACCCAACTTAAAAGTGCGACCATCATGCTTATTAGCTGCCATTTAGGCAAACAAGCATTTTCGACCAACAACCAAAAAAATTAACAAAGATCAATAGCTATAAATTTGACTTTATTAGCGCGCTAAAGCAGTGTTTTGCGATTAAAACACACGGTTTTGATACAGCCACTGCTATGCCACTTATATGGAGAACGAAGTAAAAACACATAGAATGCATGCTTTGGCCTCAAAAAGACGAATAAATTAGGCTTTCTTTACAGCCTTATCGATGCCAGCTATCCCAACGTTTGGAAAGACCTTCAGCGGTTTGAACGTATAAAATGTTATTTATGAACTTGCTAACTAATTAAAAGCAGAAACACCCGTGTTTCTGGTTGGAGAAATTATAAGGCGTCCCTTTAAATTCTAATAGGTTGGTTGCATTCTGTGAATCCCATCATATAAATCACTGACCTTCTGGTTTTTGTGTAGTGTTTGATCTTCAACTTGTAAAATCTTTAGTGTAAATGAAGAATGGCGACTTCTACATTTTTAATCTTTGTAGTCCTATCAAATGACTCCGATTTCAGGCATTACTTCAGCATTTGAAGTAACATATCCCGTTGTAATATTTCGAGTCACTTCCACGTAACTTTTTGCCTGGTTTATTTTTCTGTGTCTTTAAACCTACTTTGCTCGCTATTTTTTCGCGGTAATAACTTTTGTTGGTCTAAATTTCGAGACACCTATTTTGTTGTTCATTATGTTCTACATTGTTATCAGACTTTTCCTTTTTTAGTGTTGCTACGCTGCTCGTAAGTGGAATTCGTCGACATGGTGAGCAGGTATAGAAATCCTGATGTTCCGCCAGCTCTGCCGCCAAGACTCGCCAAACCTAGACGAGGCAATCTGCCCAACAGTAGCTCACCTAGCCCAAATTTTTCATTTAGGGACTCACCAAATGTCCAGGCAGCTTCGGTAAATACTTTGCAATTAACGTTTTTTGCACCAAGCTTAATATCTCACAGCTTCATTTTTTTATAGAGACGACCCAGTGTTCAGTCTCTAAGGTCAAAGAATCAGCATTATAGACCTGAAAACCTTCCTGAGATGACTGCCTCGGATCTTCGTGAAAAACCGGTAAAGATTTGTCCTTTTTTCTAATAGAATCCTGACTTTTCCGAGGACCACCATTTTTACTTAATATCCTCAATATTTGGTTATGTTTCTCGGGAAAACTGATTGATTATGCTTAGGTGATTGCTGAAGACTAGATTTAGTAAAGTTCTTGTACAAAAAATCTTTTGGTGGTAAATAATATTTTTGTTTTTAGTGAACATTTACTGTCTTTCCTCTTTTATGGCCCTTAAAGTTTTTCCTTTTTTCCTGAAGTAATTGTAAATTTTTGGACAAACTCCTTTTTGGTTATTACTATGGAATGTTTTGCGTTGCCTAATACTTTCTTTTGGTTGTATTGAAGTTCTGAAACCCTTTTTTTTAGAGGAATGAGCTCGTCTTAATGCTTCTGCAGCTGAATCATGAAAAGGCCAATCTACAGCGGTGGAAGAACTACTTCAACGAGCAAATTGCGACCCTTATACCCAGTGCCGAGTGGGTTTTTATCACCAACTTTTGCAATCAGCAGCGATGTTGACATTTTTTGGTTTTGTTTTTAACGCTAACTTTGCTTTCCGATGGAAAATAGAAGCGCTAAGTTAAGTCTGCCAATTTTATGTCGCTACAGGCCCTTGATAATGTCACTACTCTTACTAAGATTGAGCTCACGTGCAATGAGCTTGCGTGCATTGCCAATTCCGTTGCGTGCTTGATTACCAAAAGTTAGAATGCTCTCTGATTGCGTGCGCAGCATTTTTTCAGATCCTTCGTCTGTACAGCCGGGTTAATTTGAGGAAGAGGTCAGTCAATGCAAATGTATACTAACCAGATGTGTGGCATGCTATGGATAAGCTAAAGGAAGAAAAATATAGACAAAATTTGCCTGTCATTTTCGTGTTGGGGCCCTAGAAAGTGCTGGAAGATTACTTTACCATGTTTCCCTATTTTTCCACCCTGACTATCCTTGTGTATGACTATCAAGGGGAATGTAAGCACCCCTAGAAATCAATTATAAAACACTTAACTGCCTTTTTATTTCATGGAATGCAAAACTAAACTGGATTTACTAGGAAATCTTTAGAATGGGACCACTTTTTATTGACTATTTACCAGCTAGTCAGTAAATCGCCCTGAATGGACCGCAGTTTTACTGCTTCTTCCACTCAAATTCTACCAGCATTTGATCTTTCTAAGGTCAAAAAAATACAAAAATGCATTACCTAGGTTTTCTTCACTGTTTGAATAAATTAGGGACTTAGAGGTCATCCAAACAGCTTTGCTTCTGTTTGACTACAGCCCACAACAAACCAGCGACGGTATTATGTCTGAGTGGCGTAGGATTCAGGTGAGAGACCTCCATGCCGTCAGACTCTCATTATACAGTCCGGGACGATAATTTATGCTTTCGGTTTCTGGGAAGAATAGTACTGAAAAGAAAAAAGCTCAGTTCACGCCTCAATTTTATTCGAAGAGATTCTCTACTTCTTGTTAAAAATGTTCCGATTGTAGCATTTTAAATGTCTTTAAGATGTGGTAATATTTTTAGCACAGTTGTCAAATACATCGCCTTGTGACATCCAGAGTTGCGTAATAAATTCATAGCGTCACATATGTGTGACACTGGTTGGAGACACGTCACCAACTGCTGTCGTTTTTCTAATAGAATGTCTCCTTTTCCTAAAAGTAAGATGCTCTGACTATTCTGACCCTTTAAAATAACAGGGCTTTTCTCTCTTTCTCGCTTAGAACGGATCCAAAAGCTCGGAAAAAGGTAGACTCTCTGCGTCTGGAACTAAAGGATGTTGAAGAACAGCTAAAAAGTTGCACACCTATCATTACTTTTCTAAATAACAAAATTCGGCTGAATGATGTCTACGCTGCTGACGGATTGGACTATGAAAAGGTAGGAGCGGAGTGTTTTACTAACACCACTGGCAGTAGACAAAAAGAGCGCTTACTTAAGTAAATGTGTGCTGAAGCTCGGATACAGAATTCTGCGAAAAATTTGAGGTGCTTGCGGCTATTCGTGAGGCTGTTGAGGCGTAGTTGTGACAAGTCAGTCACCGATTGGTAGACGAGGAAAAAACAAGTGGTGAGAGAAAAGAAATGCGCGTTATCAGACGCATTCAAATTAGCTTGTTGCTATGGCTTGCAATTGTACGGTTTTAGGCAGAGATCGTTTTGAGAGCTTCCGTCTTTCAGTTCTCATCATCAACATCAGAATTTCTCTATTAAGTACTTAAAACGATACTTAGGTCTCAGCATGGGTATAAATACAGAAAGACAATTTTGTATCACCATGGGATCACCTCCAATTCTAGTAGTATTGGCCCAATTTGATCCTGATCCTAACATCAGGATTTACGGCCGTAGAAGATACGCCAGGCTGTGTACTTCATATTCCAATCCCCCAAAAATGGAGTCGCTCAGTAGGACTCGCCAATAAGAGCGGCTTTAGGGAGCTGAGGGTCCATATCTTCTCCTCCTTGCCACATTGTTTCTACTTCACTGTCACCTGAGCGTCTATCGGAAAACCAGTCAACTACTAGAGATATAAGACAGATATTGTTTATCCAAGTCCTTCTGTAACCACTGGTAAAGGCGTTCTACTTGTCTCAGTCTAGTGAATGTATATGTTTCTCCAGTAGTTGCTTGGACTTGTCGGTTGCGCTTACTACTGCCATTAATGTAAAATCTGAGCCACCTTGGAAGTCATTATGGGCTGTAGAGGTCCGAGCAGATGTGAATTATTGTGTCTGTTTACCACAGCGAGGGAACGGTCACAACTGCAATGCAGAGGTAAATGCAACCTACAAAGAATAAGGGGAGAGGAAGTTGTCAACAACATATTACTTTTTTCGCAATATATTCCATGCTAACATCTCTTGCTTTGCTTTAAAGCCAAACGCATCACTCTCCCGTCGAAAGAGCATCGAATTTCTGCATCGTGAGGAAGAACGTGAAGTGGCACAAGCTCTCCAGGCTGAAGTCTGTAAGGACACAAAGGCACTTTCCCAGACCTATGGTATTGTAACATCTGCGGACATGTTGGAAAGTCGGCATCAACCGGTGACAGAGTTGGATCACACTCAACGGCTTTTAGACTATCCCGAAGACGCGGACCTCAGAGAGCGAAGGCTTCAATTGGAGGCGCAGGTGAAACAGCTTGATGATCTCTGGCGAGAGGCCTGTGACTATACGCCGCCGCAAGCTGCAAACACCTCTAAAATCGTAAGCGCAAGGCGTTATGCTGCTGGGTAAAATGCAGTAAATTTGTATATCTTTCGCCGACCCATACTAAATAAACCTTAAATGTAACCGATATTATTGAAAAATCAAGGTCTTCTTCTCTTTCAAATTAACTTAGCTCGTGTTATTTACACTTTGTCCTCATAGTTATGAGTACCTTTTATAACAAAATCAAAAAGGGATTTTAGGTTTGCACAGAAAGCTAGCTTTCTGATTCTGTCTGTTTTGTGCATAGTTTGTCAGGATTTGATTTTCGTTTACTACATGGTTAGATTAAAGATCCTGCCAGGCGTTAGTATATTGCAAAAAAACTAGCGTAATTAACGCTTTCGCTTGTTTAGGTCATTCCGTTTTCCCTTTAACGAAGTAGCGTCTCAAAGCCATTCAATGTAGCGGCTTAAAACAGTTGATGAAAACTTTAAGTGTAACACGTATATTCTTAACCAAGTTGTATACTTTATATTTAGTTCTTTTATTGCAAAATTTTTTGATTGCTGCGTCTTTAAAATTGGGGAGTGTTTTAAAATGGGGCGGATTGGGGACCCTCCATAAAAAACAACAACTGAAAAGGTAAAACAAAAATGCGACATCAAATTAGAAGTCAATTTTGCTGTGCTACAGGCTAATTTTTTCAACTAATTTTTTGGAAAGCATGTAAACGTTATCATTACTTTTTCCACATCATGGAGATAGGGCTACAACTCATACCAATTGTGTGGCGGCAATCCGGACCTCCTTGATCGCGCTACAGGAAACATTGGACTAGTGAGTTGTTACTATAAATGGCAACCCAAAAAATGGAAATTGAATTAATAGAAATGATCTGGTCAGGTGCGTAAATAAACAGTTATCATTTTTACTTCTCTCTGTACAGGGCGCTGTCTTCATCGATTTCCTTAGTCACAGCCCTGACTTAGCCATCTAAACACCATCTTGGTAGAAACAATAGTCAGGCCTTGATATTTCGTCCACTTGTTCCTAATATCGGTGTGTGTCGAGCCATGCCGTCATTGTAACTACTGCCAGCACGTTTCGTATGCTGGTTGCCATTCGTGGGAAAAGTTTTGCAAATGCAATTTTTTACTGTAAACCGTATGGCTGAAGTTTATAGCCTCGATAATCTTGCTGACGAATCATTCACGGATGTCATTCATTCGCACCCTTAAAATATCTTGCTTTGGTGTAGAATCCTTTCATCTTAGTGTTTTCAAAGATATCAGCAGGTGCCTCTGCTTACCAGATTGCGTAGTCGCCATATGCTCTTCCCACTCACTATCGCTAATGCATTACAGCACCTTCCCAAGTGGCAGTGTTTGGACTGACGCTTGACACCTTCTTTATCTATCGTTAAGAGAACAGACCTCTCACCGCCTTTTGACACGTTCAAAACGGGATACATTATTTCCCCAATTTTATTTTTTAACATTTACACGCATTTTCCCTATTGACTTCTGCCAAAGATGAGTTCAACCTCCCGTCGGCAAAAATCCACCGTGAGCAAACGCGTTGCCAACTATCGACAGGACGCTTCGGATACCATCCGCCCTCAATCTGCCTGTGAATTGGGCGATTTGGCCTACGTACCGCGTCGCAGGAGAAGCAGTTTGCATGGACTCGACCCCACCTCCTCATGTTCGGCCGATGTGGAACGCAAAAGGCGCAGTCAATCGCAAGTCGCATTGAGTAGAATTGGCGCCAGCGGTTCGCGTGATCATCTCGCCCACCGATCGTAAGCAAATTGCCTAAACTCGACGTGTCCATGTCATAGAATGTACGACCATCTAAGTGTTGATATATTCTGGGAGGAAATGTGCAGAAAGAGGTGTTGCATAACATTTCCTCCCCTAAGTTTAATTTGTCTCCTCTTTCTCGATAAAAAGAGGAGACAAAGGCGTGTCATTTGAAATTTTCCAATATCTACGCCGTAAAATTTGATCGGGGCTTGTATTCTGCCAAGTTACCTACCAGGATAACCACTTGATAAACCTAAAAATAGATGTGTTTTCTTTTCGACGGGATGCGGTGCGTGTGGTTGTGTGATAGATGGCTGAATCGGGGAGAGTTTCGGCGACACGGGGTGGTTCCAGCCTCGTATGTCTACAACATCTGATCTCATGGGGATTGGGCGGAAGTGTGAGGTTCTAGATTGTTTAGAAATTAGCCATGATGGAGAAAGCTTCTTGACAATCGTATCAGAAATCGCTTGTAACCTGTGGAAGTGGTGGTTTTAGGGCCAAGTTTGTTTTCTCGGTCTCTGCTGTGGAATCCGCAGCAAGTGTGTGTTCCGTTGGGAAAGAATAACTTATGACCTGTAGCAATGGCGATTGTTTAAATGAACTATGTACTTTTGGAACCATTTTAATATGCGTAGCTTGTCAGTCAACAGTCACAGTACTTTGTGCATCCACACTCCTCCCCTTTAGCTTTTCCTCAGCTGCACTTAACCAACCGTCGGACAATCGAAAACAACGCCGTGGCTCGGAGAATTCAACGGCCTCCTCAGGCAAAGACACCGTACTGCGTGCATCCACCTTCTTAATGCAGCCCACTCTGGTTGCACAGTCACGATGGAAGTTATCGCCCGAAGCGGAGGAAGATTCAACATCCTCCTCTTTGCTTTCCTCTCCACCACCACCGCTTCCTCCTCCCCCTCCTCCTCCCCCTCCTCCTCCCCCTATCCCAGCTAAGCCGACAAGCAGAAAGAGTATAGATGCATCAAGGACTACCTCCCAAATGAGCCGATGGCGAAGCTTTGGAGTGAGTGATGATTGTAACCTTCCCCCTCCCCCCACCCTGAAGGCTGTGATTGTGACCACTTCTGTCGTCATCTGCGTCCTCTTTGAGGACTCTCTTGTAGGGGACGGAGTTACTGACCCCAGTACAGCTGAAGGCGAGATGACGCTCTTTAGCAAGCGCATCTTATTCGCCAATTCACTAGCCGTAAGGTCATAGTTTAAGGTCACGCCCATAATTTATCGCGCTCTGTTCCCCTCCCTCTCCTCTTTTTCCTTGAATCAGCCTAGCCGGTTGCCGGAGCTGTTTTACTTTCTTAAACCGTAAAAAGGGTCAATTTTTTCACACAACTATTTTTCGGACGTTGCTAATCTTCCACACACCATCCTCTCAGTCGTTTTTCTCTCCAATACCCGCTACAAACTTTGCCAGCTACCGTGTTGTGAGATTTCACTGGTTCAGCCAACCACAATAGAAGTGACATCTGAGCCATAAAGTCCTGATTCCACCTCATTTGACAAGAATGGGGGTCGTGACGACAGAAGAGTCCGCGCCGCCAAGGCGGCGATTTAAACAAACGCCGCAGACACATTACCATATGAAAACGGCAAACTTTTTGTCGTCTCTGTCACTTGCTTGGCTGAAAAGACGCCACAAAAGAGGTATTCGCCGGGGCTGGATTGACATTAGAAGGGGGGGGGGGGGGAAAACCGGTAGGGAAACGTGGAAGAGCATTTTACCT